GACGGCCCCCACAAAAATCCGAGTGCACATAGCTCAACGTGTCCCGCGTCACATCCGCGGACCGTGTAAACTTCACTCTCGTGGCCTTGCCGTAGATGCAATTCTCGCAAAACCTCCAAGTCACCAAGCTTGTCATCCCCCAAACAAACCTTGCTTACTCAACTCCTTCAAATCTTTATCACTCACATGATCCAATCTTTTGTGCCAAAGGCTAGCCAACGATGTCTCTTGCAACTTTGTAACCGTCGCCACATCACCGACTAAGCTGCTGCTTTGTAAGACGTAGAGACCACGCTCTCTAATACCTCTCAAGTAAAGTAGCGACCCCTTCGTGAACTTCAAGACATTATTTTCACCTTTCCAAAAAAAGCTTTGTTGGTCCAAGATTCCAAGTGAAAAGAGATTCTTTTGTAATTTTGGAACATGCCGCAGTTCCGGCAAAATCCGCTCGATCCCATCGTGCAACTTAATCCGCACCGTACCGGTTCTGGCCACCTTACATGACTTCTTGTTCCCGAGCAACACCTCGCCCATCGCGACTTTCTCGTAGCTCTCGAACCAACTTACATTCGGTGTCATATGGAATGAACATATGGAGTCCATGATCCAACGTTTGTCGGAATGAGTGGTGGAGACAACAAAAACATCAGAGCTCTCGTAACCATCAACAACTTCTTGAACAACCGCCGTCTCTGCGTCTTGTCTCTCAGCCGCTCCGTCTTCCCGATTCGGACAATTCTTTACCACGTGCCATTCTTCATGGCACTTATAATACTTGATGACAAATTTCTTTGAGTTCCGAGACTTCAACTGTGACTTTTTCTTTCTCTTGTCTCTCTTGTCGGATCTAATTCGAGCCGTGAACAAGCTATCTCCGCTAGTACTTTCCATCTCTATCCGTCGTTTGTGTTACTTTGACTTTAAAGCTTCAACAACCTTGTCGAGAGTAATCTACTTCCTACCATGTTGAAGAATGTCAACCATGTGCTCGTACGACCTCGGCAAAGAATAAAGCAAAACCAATGCTTGATCCTCATCGTCGTACTTCTCGTCAATGTTCTCCAAATTGACAATCAACTTGTTGAACTCGTCGAGATGCTCCATCAAATCCTTTCCTTCCACCATCTTGAATATGAAAAATTGCGCCTTGAGAAACAATCGACTCGACAAAGTTTTTGTCATGTAAAGTGACTCTAGCTTCAACCATATCTCCGCCGTCGACGTGCACCAAATCACCTTCCGCAAGACCTTATCACAGAGACTAAGAATCAAGGTATTGAAAGCCCTCTCCAACACCTCCTCCTTCTTTGCCGCGTCCCACGTAGCCGGAAGCTTATCGAGACCCATGTTCCCAAGATGAGCCAACATCTTCACTTTTCCTCACCCGAAGTCATTTGAGCCATCAAACTTCTCAATATCCATTTTTGAGGTTGATGCCATCACAAATCAACCCAAAGTATCAAGGAAACAATTTATCGAACACTTGGTGTGCACACGAAACCACAACACAAAACCCCAAAAAATCAAACCCAACCTCGCTCTGATACCAATTTCTATGATCGTTTTGGGGCCGGATACCTGCAAAATCCAGAAAATACTAGCACAACACAATATATATATGACTCTGTGGCTCCAATCCAAACAATATGATCGATGGAAAAATAAAAGAACGAGACAACGAGATTTATCCAGGTTCGGACCAAAATGTCCTACTTCCTGGTTGGAGAGTGGATCCACTAACGAGTAATATTACAAGATCACAAAGATTACAAGCCCCCACAACTTTCTCTTTTTTCTCATCCACTTTTCCCCTCTATTTGTTTTTCTCTCGGCATACTAAACAACAACAACACTTTTGCTTTATATACACAATACAAAGAAAATAAAACAATAAAGAAGTGGGACCCACAAACTTAAAGCCACGTTCACAAAAACCAATCTTAGATTTGTTTAAATCCAAGTAAAGTAGATAGCATACCAACACTTTCTTGAGTTGAGCTGTCTGTCTTAACTTGTCATCACAAACCTCATTGCTTCAATGTTTTCATTAAAAGCTATGTTATGCTCTTCATATATATTGGATTGTGTGGAAATTTGTTTCATCTAGATTAGTATTTCACTCACACATGAAAGTGAGTGTAATACTAAGCAATCAAAATTTAGACTAATGTATCAAGTCAATATGAAAACTAATAGGTATAGGATAACAAACATGATAGCTTTCTAGTGAGTTATTGCAAAAACATTCATGATGAAATAATATTTTTATTGATTACCGGCACTAAATATAGAACAGTGATTTTCTCTTGCCAAATGTCATGTTAATGGAAGAGAGAAAGAAGGAACGAAGTCAGAAAAAAGTATTGAAAGAGTTGAGGTTTGATGAAAACTCACCAACTTCTAAATAAACATATGTGAAAAACTTTTTACGTGTCCAATTCTATGTGCAAGACAATGCATCAGGATTGCATTGACTCGCATTTTGACATTGAAACCGTTTAATTTTATCTCATAAAGCTAATTTTTCCAGCTGCCCTCTTTGACAACCTAAGTGAAACAAAGATGTTGTTGCAAGAGTGTTTCATTATCATATTTAGCGAACAAGTTGCAATAATAACTCAATAATATCAATTGGTCTTATTTTCTTAATACATTTCTCCATTACGGAATTAACAATTATTATCAAACACTAGGATAATTATTAAAGGAATAAGTCCTACTATTCAAAAGAATCCTATGAAATCAATTAGAAAGTCATCTCAAAGTTGTCATATATCGAGTTTATATGCCACCGAGTACAGGGGTAAGGTTATGCGTGATTTCTTGGTGAGAAAATTATTAGAATCAAAGACTAGTTAGTAATCTAAGACCTTCCATGATATTTTATCATGAATGGATGTAACATGCATATTTTCTAAATAGTATAGTGTGTGAAACTAATCTTAAAGAAACATGAGTGGAGCCCTATTATACTCCCCATCTTAGACTAAGTTTTTGTCGATTGTAATCATGTCGTATGACTAGCATCATGTAATTCAACCCGAGTCCTCATCACACGATATGTTGAATATATTTCAGTTCATGAAGTAAATTTTCAATATCTAGCTTTCTTATGTCCATGACGAACTCCTTGAATGTAAGGCAAACATCATTGTTGGAGTGAAAGAAAAAAGTATGCTAGTTCGTCCTTGCAATCACACATGGATTCTACAAGGGAGACAATGGAAAACATGGACATGGGATGCTAATATAAAAAAGCCTGAAATAAAACCCGAACAGAATGCTAATCATTCTCCCAATTTGATTCTTATAACTTGGTGAAACAAAAAAGAAGAAGCAATGGACTCTATACGAGATAACCTCGCGCTTACAATTGTTGTTGTGACAAAAATTGTACGATGTGATCGACTCCTCATGAGCAAATCCAAAGTGATTGAATCATCAGTTTTGTTTTCCTTTCTAAAATATAACTTTATTGTTGCAAGGTCAAGAGTGCATTCGACATGATATATCGGGCTCTCGATGGAACATGATGAACAGTGAAGTTGTAACTAACACAAACGATAGGAATATTGTGCACTTCAACATGTACATCTACTCACTTGCAAAACCAAGAAGAATTGACATACCTATCTCGCTGTAAATTATAACTCTAACACCACTCTAATTGAATGATACTTCATTAAATTTGTAATTGTCTACTTTACTGCAATGATATCATAGCAAGAATCGTAAGAGAATACTAAGTCAAACTAAGTCAAGGATGAATAGAACTATTCAAACTACTTGATCAAACTATTCAACAAATTGATTCACACTGATTTAGACATTCACTTTATTCATCCTTGACTTAGATCCTATTTCTGTCATGCAGACTCTGTAAGCTCGTTACAGGAAGACAAATGGGCTGCTTTACCCAAATATGTGAGGACAACGGAAACACAAGCTGAATTACAGTTTCCTGGGTGCCTAATACCCTAACGGTACTAGTAAAAGCCTTCTACAGCCGCAATCGCAGAAAGTGTTTCACCGTTTTAAGACAGCATCAAGAGCCAAGTCTTCATATTTGACAAAAAATTGAAGTCCTGTTCCCTATATTTGGCTCTCAGTCTATTATTATTCACTGGCTTTCTAACGTTTGAAGGCTGAATTTCTGTGTCCCAACATTATTGACGTGGAAGAACGAACCAGTACAGTTAATAAACAGCACTCCACCATGTCGCTGCTGCATTGATGCTGATTGACATTAAAATTCGGCTTTTTGTCAATATATGATATCAATGACATCTAAAAGGGAGATCATGGGGAGTCTTCTAATCCAGTAAGTTGAAGTGAACCGCGATTTACTGATGAACGAGCTGATGAATACATATTTGAGCCTCGAAATGTACATTCTAAGGCTTAAATTTGTATGTGTATGCCTTGTCGTACAAAATGCTTAAACATTGTGTGCACAACTGATGCATTTTATCTGAAATTTCAGCGTAATAATTGGATTTCAAATGCATGTTCACAGGAAAGGAAATGATTAAGATCGCGGTAGTAATCCACGTTACGCTCGAAATCTGTAACAACTTTCCGCTCTAAACTCCAAATTTAAAGTTCAGCGCGCAAGGAATCAGCTGTTTTAACTGAACACTGAAAGGACGATGCTACACCGACATCTACAATGTGATGCACTAACTGAGCAACTCTAGGCCTCAAATTCCTCATGGACAAGTCAACATAGAAGACTTACCCAGATGAGCGTAGATCACTAGGACGGTTCTTTCGATCAGCACGTATTTCCGGCATATTCTTCAGACGGACACATCTAGTGAACCGACGCAGTTTCTAATCTTGGTTTTGAACAGTTTTATCATTGAAAAAAGGTTTCTGTCCAAACCTTGATCACTGTGAAGTGATGATTAATCTCTGTCGACCCACCATAACAGTCGAAAGTAGAGAAGTTAAGAAGTACTTAAGTCGTAAACTTAGTTCTCAAAATCCACACAGATATATCAAGTGTACCAGTAGTATATAAGCTGTCCTTGCGAGTGGAAGAGTGTGTGAGAGACTGCTCCTTCACTGAGAGCGTAGTATACCTCGAGCAGAGAAAATGCACATGATTTGAGACCGTTATAGCTGAAAGCTATCGATCACTTCCGAAAATGTTCTGATTTTCGGACGTGGACTAGAGCGCACGTTGACTACTAAGAATACGAGTTTTCGGACGGTGGTGTTACACTTCGGTAATGTGCAAATGTGACACCTTCATTTAGTTGGCATACGGCAGCGACGGTCACAATCGTGGATCCTGAGGTGTCGCAGGTAAAATGGACAGCACCGCTTCAGCAGCTTTCGAAGCTTTGGGATGTGTGTGTTCCGGCTCTGAGGCCTAGCCCTGCCGAACCTCAGAATGTTGAAGAGGAGGAGCCAACGGCAGCCATTACACCTCTATTGAGGCCCTGGATAATTTCTTCTAGATTCATTCAAGTAGTTTCGTTGCAGTCAGATCCAGTTCTCAGGCGCTGTGCATCGTGCATTTTCATCAAGCAAAGTAATCAAATTAGCTCGAGTATCAGATATACTGGCCCAATGGTGAGCAGAGACATGCAGGTAAATAAATATTCGAGAACTTATTTTTATTTCTAATAATTTGGTGTATCTGCATTTCTGAACTAACTGCACGATCAATCGAGATAAATCTCTTTCCCAAAAATTTCTTTCATGAGGATTGTATGCATATGAACATCACCGTTAGCATAATCACGGAATTGAATATCAGTAAGGCAGTTCCTATTCTTCTGCAGTTCTCACATGATTCGCCTTCAGAACGAAGAATTGATCAGAATTGTGCATGTGCAGGGTACTGACTTGAACTTCGATTCACGGAATCGAAGGCTAGAGGAATCAACACTTGGAGGACACCACCCTGCGGACCTTGCCTACCGAGATTTTTCGGGCAAGCCCTCTGATATGACTACAACTGGAGCTCATAAGGCAACCAAATATCTATACGGTAAATCTGCACCCTAGTAACTTCACTTAAAAGTCTTATATCACTCTTTTGATCACTCTTCATAGAATGAGTCATGAGTGTACGCAGCATTGTTCATGAAATCTGTATTTAATTTCAGTCATTGAAGCAACCGTCACTGCTAGAAAAATTTAGTAGTTCACTTGACGACGTTGAGCTAATTCCGTGGTTTCTGCTCGACATGACGTGTGATGATTATGTAGCTCTGATCATGGCCGAATATTTGTGTATGATCATGTTCACCATCAACCTCGTTCCGTATCTGGTTGGGAAGTTACACCTGGGGATCTCGTCTGCCTCAAACATGGTGAATTATTTTACAGCCACCAGCTTCATGGTCTCCGTTCTAGGAGCGTTCATTTCAGATGCCTATCTGGGACAGTACAGAACCATTATGGTTTCGACCGTCTTCGTATCAGTGGTGAGCTCTAGATTCCGGTTTAGACAGGCCCTAATGTAGTGTTGGGCTAGATTTGAATAAAACATAGGAGAATAAGGCCAATGACAAAGTTTTCTGCTACGTCCACAATATGTTTACACCATGTCCAGTTGTAAGCTCATCTTAAATACCTCGGATATCTTTTCCCGGAAGCTGATTCATACTTTGGCTGTGCTGAATGTGATTTGCAGGGCTTGTTAACCTTGACTGTTGTGGTGACATCTCCCACTCTGAAACCCGATGACTGTGTACCTACTGCGACTAGTTCTTGCCAGTCCGCTGGCTCGAAGATCATGGTTCCCACGTATGTTGGTCTCTACCTTGTTGCAGTGGGTGCAGGAGGTATCAAACCCAACCTTTCATCGTTCGGAGCTGATCAGTATGACGATAAATCACCGAAGGAGAAGAGACAGAGCAAACACTTCTTCACGTACGACTTTCTGGCTATTCAGAGCGGCGGAGTATTGGCGGTGAGTTTGGCAGTGTACCTTCAAGATCAAGTGAACAGAGGCTGGGGCTACGGCGTGCCCTTGCTGATATTTTTGATTTCAACATTCATCTTCGTCATGGGTGCTCCTCGGTACAGACACAAGCCTGCAGCTGGCAGCTTCCTCGTCCGCTTGGTGCAGGTGTTCGTGGCCGCCTTTCGCAACAGACATGTTGCACTGCCTCTGGACAATAATGAGCTCTGGGAGGTTCACAATGCAGGTGGCTACTCGGCCATCAGTGGAGTTCCCAAACTACCCCATTCCGACAAGCTGAGGTAATCACTTCTCAAGGGCTCTTTGTGAAGCTATTCACGGTCATGAAGATTTTCCACGCCTTCAGCCGCTGCTGGAATTCTGTCAGACTCCGAAGACCATAGACCCATCGAGTGCCACAGCATCGGGAAGTGATTAGAATCTGGGATTCGTAGAATCAAATGTTTGCGAACCAAAAGATTATGTTGGACCTGCAGCATGTGAATTTGAATAAAGATCTCACTTTGACGATGTCGGCTTCAAATTGTACTGAAGTTTGGGAATCTCTGCATGCAGAATTCTTGACAAGGCAGCCACAATCCCCAAGCACGACTGCCCAGCTGCCGATCATCCGAATCCCTGGAGGCTTTGCACGGTAACGCAAGTGGAAGAAACGAAGAGAATACTTCGATTAATACCGATCTGGCTAACAACATCCCTTGTTTACATTTTCTTCGCCGAGCTCGTGAGCTTCTCCGTGCTAGCAGCATCAAGCATGGACCGGGAGTGGGGTGACAACTTCGTTGTTCCTGCGGGATCTACTGCACTCTTCAACTTCATTCCCAGCCTCTTCTTCGTCCCTTTTTACACAATCGTTCTGATCCCTCTCATCCGAAAATTCACCGGCCATCCCATGGGACTCAGCCCTCTGCAACGCATCGGGGGAGGGATGTTTGTCGCTGTCATCGCCTGCGTCATCGCTGGCTTGGTGGAGAAGAAGAGAGTGCACGAAATCAGATCTCGCGGCCTTGAGACCGCACCTCTGGGAACATTTGTGCTTCCCTTGACCATCTTCTACCTGTTGCCTCAATACCTCCTGTCGATGGTGGTTGAGTTCATGATGCTGGTAGGCCAGCTGGAATTCTTCTACGCTGAGACCTCAGATGGGGTTCGAAGCATCGGAACGTCGTTCACTTATTCTTCTGTGGCCATCGGCTTCTACCTGAGTACTTCCGTGGTCGATGCTGTAAACAGCATCACCCGCAGGCACTTCGGGGGCTCGTGGCTCGAAACAAAGATCAACGACGGAGGGCTTGAGAAGTACTGGTATTTTCTGGCGACGCTGCTCGCCTTCGACCTCCTTGTCTTCATGCTGCTGGCTTATCTGTACGAGTATAATCTGACAAGCGCTCCCCTGTCAGACTCTTCGGTCGCCAAAGGCAGAGAGCATGACCCGGAAATCTAGGCGTCCAAGCCTCTGTCTTCTATAACTACTTTGTCTATTCTTTATGCAAATGCTGCGTCCTCGAAATGTCTTCTTACTTGCTTTCTCTCATTCCGAGTTTAATGAACAAATCAATTTTATTATCTTGGCTTTTGCCGACCGATACGCCCAGATCACTCGCCGCCACATTCTTCCTCTCGAGATCGACTGTCGTGTGTCCTTGCCCGCGAGTAGCAACTCACAGCTCTACTGACTCATGATTTGAATCGATCTCAGAGATCTTCGACTCTTATTCTCATCGCCCGATGGAAGTTTACTTAAAATTATTGTGCGTGACATGAAATAACTGCGTTCTCAACAACTGCAGTTTCTTTATAGGTCAGGTATAATCTTATGGTGAGCCATGAACTATTTATGGATAGCATCTGTTCAATTACGATTGCACTGTATCCGGTCGTGGTCACCGTCCCTACGATTCTCTGGCAAGATACTGAGATATTTTGGCTCTATTATCTAACCTCAGCGGAGAGTAGATGTTTTGAATCTCGCTGGGATCCATCCGATTACGATGCAAACTCAAGTTATGGGCAGCCGGCACCAAATTTATTGATGAATTTACATCTGTTGAAACTACTTCCCATGTTGCGCATATGTTGCTCACCAGACATGACATGAATGACTGAAATTAAAAGTGTGGATTCATGGAAGTAGTCTGGAAGGGTCTGGGGGCAAGTATATCACAAGATTTGGGCGTGGTTAACACGAGGAATCCTGTTGTTTTTGGTCAAAAGCAATGATTATTGACTGTATGTCGGAACCATCATTTGTTTTACGTTCTTAAGCTTTGATTCCATTTCAGAATGCGCCTACTAGTAATTGGGCGCTTTATAATGATTGTGGATGTGAGGGTCAAACAATTCAGCTTCTATCGTTGAAATTACCCAAGAAACCACTAGGCCTCCACAAAACCTACATTGGATCCAGCAGTCTCACGCAGCCTCGTGCAACTTTCAGAATCAGAAACAGTGAAATAGAACGCAGCCCAAATCAAAATTACAAAAGAGTCCACAGATTGAAGTTATAAACAACCCAATCAGATGCTATAGAAAAATAATCTTGGTGTTTATCGACTTGAGGTTGGGAGAGATCTAAACGTAATTGGTCTAATTCTATCTGATTCACGCTTAAAGTCGTTCCAGAAGGTTGAATCCAACATATCGAATCTGATTGAAACTCCGGTGTCCTGGTTCAAAAGATTTAGAACTGCCTGAACTTCCTTCTCCAGGATGTACAACTCAACATATTTCAAAAATAGACCTAAACCTTGCAGCTAAATGCTAGATGGGAGCAAGTATGATACAATTGAACAAATTCAGTATCAAACTACATATACACTAACCTTCAGACCTTTGCACAAGCCTTAAGTAAGGCTTGTGCAAAACTCTGAAGGTCTGAGACTCACTGCAAAGACTTCCAAGACTTCGAAGGACATCATGTCTGTGAAGATTGTTACAGACCTGATAAAGATAATCACAAGCTTGCAAAAGATATAAACAGAAAATGTCAATATGTACTATGTACAAAGCGACAAATGAGGCACGAATTGCAGATGAAAAGACAACTGCTAGAACTCACTAGTGTAATCAGCGATCTAATTTGACGAGATATTGTACACGATATGTCATAATGAGTGGTTTGAAAACATTACAAATATACGAGAGTTATTCCTCCATTATAATGATCATAATTTCCACTCAGAAAACTGATCTCAATTTCATATATACAACTCGACGAATTCATCTCACTTGAGCTGAGTGTTGTTTAATTATCACTTATTATGTATAAAAAATCTCTTACCGAAAGATTAATGTATTCTAATCAAGACAAGTGAAGATGATTAATAATGTGACTGCCATCAAATGAGCGGCCGCCCTGGTTACAATGATTTCTACCTTACCAACAGAAGACCATATCAAATTGGCACAATATGAAATAGGATTTCCCTCTATATAATATGAATACAGAATTGTGTGCGTCCACCACTTCTAGTTTGCAATCACGAACGAGCATCCAGATTAATATAGACATCACTGAATTAAAGCTATCAGCGAAGATGTTCTTGACATGAAGTGACAAGGAGTACGGAAGTGTTTAATTCTTTATTTGACGATGAGTCCTCGCACATTATGATTACGCTCACGTCAGGTCAAGATGTACCATCCTTATTTTCCTTACAACTAAGAAATTTTCTTACTCTAAGCAAGTAACGAATTATTTCTATAAAGAAAATGAGAGGAAGACAAAATTGAGAATAAATATGGAATTGAACACATTGTCTGAAGTATTCTGAAATAAGGGCAGTGATTACAGGAACTTGCAAATGAGAATTTTGGAACACATGGGTGCAAAACACGGACACGGCTGTGGGAACGTCTGATTATAATTTATTCACATTGGTACCGCAAAATCAAATGATGCTTAAGTAGAGGAACCTTTCGACTTGATCATTCTCCGGGCGGACCCATCTTTCCCGGACAACACGAAAATGAGAACATACGACCCTAAAGGCATTGTGAATGTAAAGAAGAATGACTTCCATTAACTCCGGAGTAGAGAAAAATGTCATCTTGTAAATCTTCTGGAAACCAGCATGTGAAAAGACTTCATCACAGAAAAGACTTAGTTAACCAGCTACGTTGAAGCGAAAGGTTTCATATCCAGGAAGCAAACGGACGGGTTTAGCTGCACAAACTTATACATAGCCCCTATATAGGGCCTTAATAGACCCAGGCAGGTGTCATCCTGTAGTGAGCCGTCTCAGAAGTTCTTCTTTTTTCGCCGAGAGTCTCCTCTTTTAGATCCAAGATGGAAGAATGTGCGGGCAGGCTAACCAGGCAACTTCCTGATTGGCTGAGGATGAAACTTAGATTTTCCGGTGGAGCATTGAAGTCATTGAACTAGATAGCTCCGCTTTCCGGCGGAGCGATCTAGGGATGGCCTATAAGAACATCTGGGCATCCATCCGCACTCAACTACGAGGGAATCCCTATTCTCACAACCTGGTCGACGTCATACTGACCATCATAGTTACTCACAGTGGAATTGTTCAACCGATGCTTGAAATTGTGTCGGCCACCTTGAAAATGTTCCCAACAGCAGATGTAGTAATAACCCACAGCATGGATGAAGCTTTATTTTCTGAGCATGATGAATCTAAATATTTGTGCCAATGAACATGTAAGCTCCAATATTCATAAAGGTTTTAACAAAATGCCTTTTGTTTTCCATTATGAACCAACTCTTGCTATAAAATGGCAAAGAAATCGAGAGGAGAGAATTTCAGATTTAACATACAAGCAGAGAACAAAGTTTTCAATGCATAATGGAATTGTTTGGCAAGGTCAGCTATCGAGCTCTGAGTTATTTAGTTTTAGTCACTTGAGTGCTATAGAATATCGAGTAAAAAATCTCCTCGAGTCGATGATTCTGCACTGACTTTGTGATCAAAGTCAGCTTGAAGGGTAGAATCATACAAACTAGTTAAGAAGAAGACGATTAAAGTTCTTTGTGGAACATTTGAAGAGGTAACTCGTGTTTGAGGTGCAACTTCCCATACTTATGGCTACATATGTCTTGATGAATATACTTTGATTGCAATCTTCTCTTCACTTTATGTTATTCACAAAACTTGAGGAAAGTGGCAATGAGACCTTGTTCGATGAAGTCGCGTCTAAAGAACATGGCTTCATGTGTTTTCAATATTTTGTTTGATACCTAGCAGCTGATCATAAGCACTGTTTAAATCTTAATCAAAGAATGAATTTATCATGCATTTATGTATAACTCTTGCTCTTCACGCAAAAGCTATGTTTGATCCAAATTGTAATAAATGATTTGTAAATATTTATTACATATTGGGACATCACTTGAATCTCATGCTAACTGTATGCTAAGTATTAGCATACATATAATTATATATATATATATATATATATATATATAATTATGTACAAATAATAAGTTTTTATCTAAAAGGAAAGACATAGTGATCCAAAATACTTTGCTCGTGCATTTATTCTTTCTACGACATAGTACTTTGATAGTCTATTTAGACAACGACGAACTTAGTGAGTTCATGACCATGCAGAACAAATAGAAAAATACGCATGGTACAAGAAAAGTTGAATTTTCCTCTGGATGAAAGCTGATTCTTTTTAGACGCACTACACTCACATGCTCCTGTGTATTTCTTTCTGCCCAGGAGCAGGTAAGCTTAATTCAGAAGAGAAGATCTTATGGATGAGCCCAGAGTTCATCTAATTATTATCATGATAACGTAGGGCTATAAACAGTGTGTTTGATAATGACAACAAATTCAAAACACTAGTCTGCCATAGTAGATATTTATTGCAATCAATGGATCAGGTTTTTCTACGTCCAACCAGATTCCAAGGTATAATATAAGAGCTTCCCTATAAAGTAAATTGATTGTAAGGTTTCACTATCTTACTAGATTCTATGTTGCTTGTAAAAGCAGCTTGCAAAACCAATATTCTTATTTCAACAAAACTAATCAATAGGACGTTAGGTACTTGTGATGGTATTCAAATCAATGTCTAAAACTTATCTTCAAACCCATGAATTGCCCCCATTAATTTCTGAAGACTGTAACATCTACTGACAATCAATCTTACTAATTGTTTTCACAAAAATCCTTCAGACCTTCAACATACTCATCTCCTGAAATTTGGATTCAGGACAAACTTCTTCACAAGATTTGCAGTTGGGCTTATTCATACACAACTTTCTCAATTCTGACCAAAAACCTGTACGATCTTTCACTATTTATGTTTTAGGATAAATAATTCCTACAAATCATGTCCAAGTCAACAGATTGATAGATTCAAAGGATACAATTATTGATATAGTTATTTCTTGGGGTGGATGTATGCACAGTCATGGTACATGTTGATTCTTACAAATGCAGAGTGTGTAATGAGAGTACAGAGAAACTTGCGCACATGAGTTACATCCAATTCATCAGTTTTCTACAATTCATTTCACATACTAAATATCAGCCCGAGCACTGCCTGAAGATTTGGCACTTAAAGACAAGAGTATTTTATGATAATAAGGTTGACTCCAGTAATGCTTTTATAGCTGTGTTTTGGTTTTGGTCCAAGAATTATAATGAGGATCACCGTCTTCTTACTCGAGAGATGAGTTCACACTTGACATATGTCAATACTCCAATGGGATGGCTAACTCTTTTAATAAACTGTAATGATCTCTCAAGCATCCTATAGAAATCACCTCTGCTACATACCGAATCTATAAGAAGATACCACTGTTGAAAACTGATGGTGGTTGGTTCAAACTGTCCTTTTCTATTTCAACGTTCACATACATGAGTTCAAACCATGAATAATACATCCATCCATCTGACGGGTGCAACAGATATAAGGTAATGTTAAATAACAGCACGCGCGGAGTTGTCATAGGGATCCAGCCCAAGAAGTGAAATATAAAATGAGTGAATTTGGGCACGGTACCATGCAGCAAATCACAACGTCACTTTGTGTAAGGCACCTGAAT